ATCAAGGAAACTAGGGTAGAGACTAGGGCCGGCTCTTTACTTTATGCCTCCTCCCTTTTGTCTAACTTAGTAGGCCGAAGCCTACATTCCAACAACTTACTGTTTGTGAACACCTATATGGTTTTAGTTGGAAATCAAGTGATCACGGGCTCATACTGTGCAGGACCATATATGAATGTTACTCTGAATCTAGTTAGGTTTATAATAACTAAGCAGTTTTAATTATAAGTTCATGTTGATATTGGTTTGAAAGTTGTCCAGGATGATTGTTTTAATTCAAATTGTTGTTCTTTCACAATAAACCTTGATTTTTTCAATTCCGGCTTGGTGTCTTCAAATCCCAAAATGCATACACGTTTTTGTGGGTGAAAATGTTGCATTTTTTCTTATTTTGTGTATGAAAACTGATTTTCACATACTTCAACTTTGAACCTTAGCATCCATTGATCCTAGTATTTGAGATCTAAAAAGAATCGAAGGTGAAGGCATACGCTACTCCAAACACTACTAAATAGGGTTGTTCATCGGTTGACATCCAATGAATGTGATGGGAACTGAACCGATCAAATCATCCATTGGATGTTGGATTTTTCCAACCGATCCAATGGATGATTGGATCGGTTCGGTTCCAATCACATCCATTGGATGTCAACCGATGAACAGCCCTACTACAGAGATATGGTATGGAAATGGAGAGGGCAGAAAGATCCACACACAAAAAAGCAAATATCTGGACTGTATTATGTTATAAGAGATCACTAGATTGAAGCAAATCTTATTACTCACACAAGCCGACAAATACAAGATTGTCCTAAAGTGACTAACAAGATAACAAAAAAAGGAACATGGAAATTCTTCGAAGACAGACAAATGACTCCAGTGGAGATGGGGATGAGGAGCAAGAAAATGACTTACAAATGATTGATGTTCAATTGAAACCTTTTTTTTGTAACCTTTAAGAAGAGGAATTAACAAAAATTCAATGAACTTGTATTCATTCAATACAACACAAGGCTACAAAGGCGCTTTAAACCTCTTGCGGATAACAAATCTTTGGATCATATTTTGTTGAGAGATGTGGAAGAAAATGATGACTCGATGATTCCAACTGATGTCGAGCTTCAAGAGTTTATGAATGCAAGCCATGGTCTCCATTGGTCACATCCAAGGTTTAAAAGATGGAAGCAAGCCTCGAGGCATTTTTCCTCAATGAGGCAAGGCGTAAGCCTCAAGGCGGTCCAATGCATAAGCCCCGAGGCAAAAATATACATACACCAAAATATTAGGGCCATTAGGCTTTGGCTTTTATTTTTTTAAATAAAAAGACTTTTACCATAAATAGAAGCACTACTACTAACATAAAGCTTATAAAAGAAAGTCAAAGAAACCATGAGCAAAGCAGATCATCTGAGGCATAGATCATCTGAAGCGTAGAACATCTTAGGTGTACGCCTCGACACCGTGTCATGCCTCATCGAACCGCCTCACTAAACCAAGGCGCAAGCCTCGTCCATGGTCCAAAAGGCACCATGTCACCTCAAATGATTTTAAAGACCATGGCCATATGTGCAAGAAGCAACGAAAAGTAATGTTGAATTGAGGCCAAGTACAAGGAGTTAGAGGGCGCACTACAACGATGATGTCAATCAAGTTGGAGATGAAGGGAAGATGACCTAGATGAATGAGTGAATGTTAAATGATGTTGACTCAGATGTTGAACTTGCGGACTGGGATCAGTCCGTTCATGAACTTTATGATTTGATGTTGAAACTTTATGCTTTTAATGTATTAAATATGGTTACATATAATATATATATATATAATATATTAAAAACTATATCTATGAATATATACATGTGTATATATAGAAATAAATACTTTTATTTGTTCCACGAACCGCTACGTTTTTTCCACTATAACCACACTTCATAATGAAGGATCGAATTAAAGTTTGTTAAATAAAGAAGTGGCCACAAGATCGAAGGAGCTTTGCCCAATGCAATCTCTCTCTCTATAATCAGTATTCGAGCTAAGAACATGAAAAATCATAGAGATTCCATCAACCGGACAAAATCATCTGCTGATATGTCCCTATCTTTGCAACAGACTTGCATATAGAAGAAGGCAGCAAGCACAAATTCTTACCATAAGCATCATTGAGAAATTGTGTCCACGTAAAGCAGTTAGAAACAATTGAAATCTACTGATATTTGTTGCACAGTTTTCAGTTCAGAAAAAATTGCAAGAGATTGGCCTTCCCTGTTAAGGGAAAGTGGATGTGGAAGTATTTAAGCTCCAAACCACTCTATATCATTATGTCTTTACTTTTCAGCATTTATTACTTTATTCATTTGATACGTGTTTATCGAAATTGTATACTTTTCACTTAGCATTTTCCATACCGTTTACATACTTTCCAAAGAACCCCCTACCCCAAAAATAAGTAATTGGACACTCTATAATCTATCAGAAAAGAATTCGAAGGTCTTTCAAGAAAGGAAGAAATGCAATCAGTATTTCCACAATTATTAAAAAAAACATTCACAATTAATATCCGGTATGTGAAAACAGCTTGTAAAAATAAATAAATACGGCAGAAATCAAGTTTCCACACACAATTAGAGACTACCTGTTCCCGAATTCTACTAACAAACATCTTGACATCTGGCTTCTCCAAGCATATTTGCCCTCTATTAAGATCACAGCTATCAGCATTGTAAGAGCCTTCCACATGACATCTTTTTTCCTGGATTTTAACATGTGCATTATTACTTATCAACACTTAAAGATCCAAATTTAGGATGCTGAAAATAAACATGCAATTACTCCAGTTGAAGTGGATTCATCCTATGAATTTAGTTTTTCTTTTCTACCATAAGCCAATTTATAAAGCCTCATGCATAAATAAAACCTATAGAAGCTCAGAACATAGTAATAATCAATTCAACAAAGCTTTTATCACAAAATAGATGGAGACTAGTAAAACTAATTAACAATGCATGTGACTGGAATCTGCTTAACAGGCACCACAATGGCTATTGGCATATTGGATTTATTTCTGCAATGCCACAATCAAAACCACAGAGATTTTGATGTTTCCATAGAAACTTTTCGATTTTTTTATAGACTGGAAAAAGAAAGGGAGAAAAATGACAGTTCCATTGACAGTTCTGAAAAACTTCAGTTTTTTTTATGTTATACATTTTTACATGATCCCATCTCAACTATCACCATATTCGCGAACCATGATAATAACACCAAATAGACTAGCCCCCATACATCAATTTAGATATTAGTAATGACACAATGACAAATCACATGGAAACAACTAAAAACCAACAGTATATTACTCACATAATGAGCAGCAATGATCTGCATAAGAATTCGAGCTTCACCATTCAAATTTTGCTTGTCGGGGAGTCCCTTAACACAAACATCACACCTGAAAAATACCATTAAATTTTTTATAAAAATAAAATAAGAAGGGCACAAACAAGAAAAAGAAAAAACCACAAGGGTTATGGTGTAGTGGTTGAGGTCTTGGGTATGTGGTGGAATATCCCATCTGCCCAGGGTTTGATTCCAGGCGTACACAAAAAATGTGGACAGTGAGATTCCAGGCGTACACAACAATTGTGGACACTGAATTTATCAAGGCTGATTTCTTACAATCACAATTTGTCAGGATTAGTCCAGGCATAGCTTGGGACGCCCTTTCAAAAAAAAACAAGAAAAAGAAAATGATAAAAAAATTTAATAACAAATAATCAAGCATCATGAGAATCGAAAGAAATCATTTTTAATCCAAAGATCCATCTTCCGGTCTGCTTCTAGATATTAGGAGGTGGGAAGGTTTAATATCCCACATGATAAGCCACATCTTCAATTAGGATTGGTCAAATGGGTCTTGTTTGATTTGGTCAAGTAGTGGGTTAGTTATTTGAATTAGTAATCCTTAGGGTTAGGGGAAACGGTTGTCTTGTTAAGTCTTATTTGTATTTAAAATCTGTTTATGACAGTAGCAGAAGGGAAACAAAAAAATTAAAAGGTTATCTCACCTCAACAGAATTTCATTTTCTGTAATTTCTTAAGCTTTAGTTGGGACACTATCAGTGGTATCAGACCATAACTTTCATGGCAACTAATAAGGAGAGAATTGAAAAGTTGGATGCATGTCTGGGAGGAATTTAAAACCAGGTCAGCAAAATGGAGTTGGGTGTTGTCAACAAGCTTTGCCAGATGGAGGAAACCATCCAAAGCTTGCTGATGCTCTACTCTCCCAAAATAAAACCACAAACAAGAACAACGAGATCGTTTTCCCTATAACAAAGACCATAACTCGGAAGATGCTGATGGGAGAAGGCCATATTCTCATCGGAAGTAGCTAAATTGGAGTTCCTCACTTTTCCGGAGATGATCCTATAGAATGGTTGACAAAAGTGGGACAATATTTGAGTATCAAAAGACGTCGGAGCCATAGGCCTTTTTCCATCTTGAAGGGGGAGCTAATCAATGGTAGCAATGGTTGCGTCGTGCCTTCCAAGAAGATGGTAAGGAAGTCATGTGGACAAGCTTTCAAGACGAGCTATGGGCAAGGTTGTCCTACCAGATGTGAAGGCTTTAATGAAGCCTTATCGTGGGTTACGCAAATCGGCTCCTTACACGATTACTAAAAAACCTTCGTAAGGCTGGGCAATCAAGTTCATAGTTGGACATCGAAGGCACTAATAGGGGCATTCATGGGAGGCCTCAACTCGAGAATTGCTTTAGGCATTAGAATTTATAAACCGAAATCATTGAAGGAAGCTATTAGCCATGCGCAAATGAAGGATGAACAACTAGCGGGTCAACAGAAACTCACACGGCCATTCAATTGTTCCACTTCCGATGCTCGCTCACCAACAGAAGCCAAATCAGCTTCGTCCATTAAGAGGTTCACCGGGGAAGAGATGCAAACACGACAAGCTCAAGGCATTTGTTTTTAATTGCAATGACCAGCTCACTCCAGGTCATAAATGTCATGGACCTCAATCAATGCTACTGGGACGTGTCAATACTCATGGAGTACCGAAGACCTATGCTGTTATATCGGTCAGAATACGAAATATCGGTAAGGACCGATATTCGATATATCGGTTATATCGGTGATATATCGGAAATAGCGGTTAACATAATATTTCTTAGAATTATATATATAATATGCATTAATTAGAGTTTAGAAGTCTGAAGACTTAAGTTGAAGTCGAAGTGTGAAGAAAAGTCGAGACTGAAGACTGAAGAAGTCGAGACTGAAGTGTGAAGAAGAAGTCGAGACTTGAAGTCGAAGTCGAAGTCTGAAGACTGAAGTTGAAGTCGAAGTGTGATTTGTGAAGAAAAAGTCGAGACTGAAGTTGAACGTGAAGAAGTTGAGACTGAAGTTGAACGTGAAGAAGAAGAAGAAGACATTGTGGAAAGATTCAGACCTAATTTAAGTTATCAGCCCAAAAAATCGCTAAATATCGCTAAAAATCGCTAAATATCGGAAAATATCGCTAAAAATCGCTAAATATCGGAAAATATCGCTAAAAATCGCTAAATATCGGAAAATATCGCCGATAATATCGTTCCCGATATTTTGACCGATATTTGAGTTCCGATTTTTTTTTTTTTTGGAGCGATATCCGATATATCGCGATTTTAACAGCATAGCCGAAGACCAGACGACTCCGATGAGGAAAAAGAAGAGGACCCTCTTGAAGTCAAGGTTCCTCTCCAAGCGGAAGGTAGTGATAAGCCACATCTTCAGTTAGGGATAGGTCAAAGTAGTAGGTTAGTTATTCGAGTTAGTAGTCCTTAGTTACAATTAGGGGAACAGTTGAGTGTTCTTAAGTCTTATTTGTATTTAAAGTTTATTTATGACTGCAGTAGAAGGGGAAGGAAAAAGTTAAAAGTCTATCCACACCTCAAGAGAAATTAATTTTCTACAATTTCTTAAGCTTTAGTTGGGACTAGGGGTGTAAACAAGTCGAGCTTTTAATGAGCTACTCGAGCTCAAGATAATAATTATCAAGCTCGAGTCAAACTCGAACACGAAATAGAGCTCGCTTAACTTAACAAGCCGAGCTCCATAACGCCAATGTTCGACTCGACTCGTTTGAAAGCTTGATTAAACTTTACAAATTAAGTCAAACCAAACCGAGCCATTGGAGCATATACTTTTTTGAGCGAAACATACTTGTATGTTTACAAATTATACAATCAAAACATAAAAATCATCGAGCTTGAGTAAATAAACGACTTAATTGATCTCTAATTCGAGCTTATAAATGAGCATTGAGCTCAAGCTCAAATATTGAAAAATATTAGAGCTCGATCCCGACTTTAAAAAAGTTAATTGAGCTCGAGCCTGATATTGTTTTTCCAAGTTGAGCTCGAATGACCTGCTACTCGACTCAGCTCGTTTACACCCCTAGTTGAACCCTATCACCACACTTGGTATGAAGCAGAGATGAATTACGACTTTTCATTACCAATGCAGACGATGGCATGAAATTGCCCATAAATATTTTAACATTACCTACCGGTACACTAAAAACATAGCCGCCTCTTTTGGAGTAATGACTGCCATGGATGTATATTTTTTTCAAAAAGTTGAGCATATATGTCATGAAATTTAGCAAATATTCGGCATATCCAATAAGGTTGGAATATAGTCAATATTTAATGTAAAATATACAATGTGTGATACAAGACATATCGGTGTAGATACAATCATGAAAAACAGAAGAAGAAAAAATTGTCGTGAGAGAGAGAGAGAGAGACAAAGAGAGAAAAAGAGAGTGCATAATGTGAACCAAACTAAACCAATCAAACAAAGCATATTCCACTCGAAAGTAGGGTCTAGGGGGATGGGATGTAGGAAAACTATCCTTTACCCTAAAGGGCATAAATTGAATAAATATCTCGTATTTAATCAAAGAAAAAACCCACTAAATATATACAACAATCCCACTTTATTTTTCTCTACTACCTATGTAGGATGCACTAGAACACTCTTTTCCACACGCCCCCCTTAAGATGTTGAAAAGGTATTCACCATTCAGACACAAAATTCTAAAACTCTGAACTACTTAACCCTTTGTTGAGTATATAAGCAAACCGGCCATGTGTAGAGACGTAAGTTGTATATATTGTCCAATTTTCATTGACAAAGAGCCTGTCAATCTCAATATGTTTCATCAATCATGTTGCACTGGTTGTGAGCTATGTTTACTATAGCCTTGTTATCACAATAGTGTTTCATAAGGCCATCCCACTTGACCTTTAAATTTTCTAGAACAATTATTGATCATAGTAGTTAACACACCTCGAGCGAGTACACCTCAGCATTGCTCTATACTCTACTTCAACACTACACCATGATACCATATTTTGTTTCTTAGTCCTCCATGTCACGAGATGTCCATCAAGAAATGTTCAATCACTGGAGGTCGATTTTCTGTCAATTGACTCACCATAATCAAAAAAAATATGCTTCTAGGCCAATACTCCATTTCCTTTTGAAAAGGATAACTCTATGCTCTATGTAGTGTTCTTGTCAAATATTGCAAAACTCAAATGAATGTCCTTTACATTGTGCATTGTAAGAATATGTGCAGAAAGGAGAGTTTCAAGCATATATACTAGAGAAATGGTCCAAGTCTGGCCGATATGGACTCCAACAGAACCCCTCCAATGGTAGCTAGATGGACACAGATTGTCCCATAGTGTCGAGCGAGCTAGCTAGAGTTTCGAAGCCCTAGAGTGGCAGACCTTGCTCTGATACCCTGTGAGAATATGTGAAATCCCCAATCACTCTCTAAAAGAGCCCTTGAGGAGAAAGGAGAGGTCCCAACATTTACGCAGAAGAAATGGTTAGTCGATGTGAGACTCCAACATGCATAAATTTATTGCCCACATTTGTTGTACGCAGCATTTTGCCAAGTGTGACGGAGATAAATGGGCCTCCACACCAACCATTGATGAATTTCTTTATGGCTACGTAACCTTCTGGGTGAGATTGGATTCAGYCAGTCGAAACCAATGCATTTATGGTGTGACAATGAGGCAGCAATTCATATTGCAAACAATCCAGTGTTTCATGAGAGGACGAAACATATTGAAGTAGATTGTCACTTCATTCGGGAAAAGCTAGAGGATGGTTCTATCTCAACTCCCCATATTCGAACCAGGGATCAATTAGCCGATGTCTTCACAAAAGCACTACCCGGGAGTCGAATCACTTATATTTGTAGCAAGCTGGGCATGATCAATATCTATGCTCCAGCTTGAGGGGGAGTGTTAGAATATATTGTAAATATATTATGTCTGTTTAGGGTTTCTGTTGGGCCGTACGGGCCTTTGCTTATTTGGGTTTGGGTTTCTTATTTGTGTCT